TTATTTATTTATTTATTTATTTATTTCATTACACTCAAAGGTGTGCACAATCACAGGAAATCTATCACGTAGCAAAAGCACTTGAACGTTAAGAGGGCTGCACGTGGGCTCATCATTTACACTAAAAATACGGACGTCGTATATAATTGGAATGAGTAAATTTCACAGTAAATAGGTTCGTTTTCCAGGTGTGCTATGCCGGGCGTGTGTCTTACAGATCGCGAAGTGACGAACACAAAGCAGGCAAGAGTGACCAATGGGATCAAGGATACCAGTCTGTTTCCAGGTTAGTTTTTTTTTTGCAATAGATGTTTTTTCTTTTTTTGGGCAGTGGTTCAGTTAATGACAGTTCAAAGCTGAATTCAATATAAAAGCAGTTCTCTTTTTGGTTTATGTATTTCTTTTTCAATTGTTCGCTAGATAAAGGTAATGAGTAACGCATGAGTTGAGCTAGCACAGGATATAGAAAATTTGAACGGAAAAGTGAAAACTTCCACGGAACTCGTTCAGCTAATGGGGGATAATAGAGGTCATTTGTGATACTTGAGCTTCTCATTTTGCACTATGTCAGACATACTAGTACGGTATGAACACAGTTCTACAAACTTGCCCTAAGTCATAGCCCTACGTAGTCTTTTCGTGTTTTCGTTCTTCCTTTACTCCAATTTTATTTAAACGTTAATCTATAAATGGTATTTAATGTCGTTATGGGAACACCTATTTATCAACATTCGATATCTTCAATCTTCAAGTGTTATGATTTATAGATGACGTTATGCCTTGTATTCGTGAAATGCCTTCGTCTCCGCATTCTCTTTTTTTCGATATTGAACTGCAAGCATCCCTGTTTTATGTACCGCTGTCAGAAACCACAACTTTCGCAGTTTCATGTGCAATAGTCCAACCTCTATCCACCTTTCGCTGGTGACCTTGGTACCCTATTTGTAGGATAGACTAGTTCTGTATGATTCTTGAGATGCTGCTGTACTGAATCGAGTATGAACATCTGAATTCGTAGTAATCTTTCGAAGGATTAATCAACGCTAAGTGCTCGAGCGTTCTTTGGAGTCACTTAGTTCATTGGTGGAAGCAGCCATCTAAGAAATTTTTTCTGACCAGGAACTTCATAGAAGAAGATTCATTGTGTCAAAATGTTGTTATAGACCAAAATGGGTGCAACTGCACGAAGAGGAGCTTGCAAGGGGTTCCTAGTATGCTCAGACTTTTCCTCACTGCTCAGCCGTTTCATATGTTTCAAAGCTCCTATAATAATGAGTATGGTTCGCGCGGACAGAAAGCTGCTTTTCCGCTCTCGCAGCGCGAAGCTTTTAGCTGCGAGAACCCCTGTCTACTACTGATCAGTGGTGCACCTGGGGCTCCTGGAGCGAAAAAAGTGCGAAAAGAGGAAAAGTAGCTTTCTGTCCTAGCGAATCACAACCTAAAAGAATGGAATTATCAGAGGTGACTAGGGGAGGTCCCGGGTGGGATGGAATCATGAAGCTTGATAAGTGTTTTCGAGTTTCGAATTTATCAGATAGATCTTGCAAAAAATGGTTTGTTTCAGGTTATGAGGTTTCTGGTGTTGTAGAATCGTTCGGTACTGAGAGTACTCCTGAAGAATATGACTTGAAGATCGGCGACAAGGTTTGCGAAGTTCTATGTTATAATTTCCGGGCAGTTGTAATTAGCGTGGTCAAATTGATCTGGGTGCGCTTTGAAGACAACTGATCTTTCATTCTTCGAATGAGGATCTCCTAGAGTTGGTCGTCTCTGACTAGTTCATTTTGTTCAGGTCATTGTATGGCCAACTGATGAGATGTGTAGCCACGGATATGCCGACTATGTTGCTGTTCCTACGCTCCATTTCCTTGTCAAGATACCTGATTCACTGTCAATGCACGTTGCTTCGATTCTTCCCGCTGGGGCTACTTGGGCGTTGAGTGCAGTGCTGCAGGTATAGTTACTCGAAAGGGTTCAGTACTTGTGGGCTTGTCCTCTATTTCCGCATACTCGAAGGATTTTTAATAAAGTTCTATTTTCTTTTCAAGGCTCGACCAATTGTCGATGCGTTCGCGCAGTCGAAAGGATTTTGCAACATTTTAATCGTGGGTGCTGGTGGTCTTGGACTATATAAATGTAAAAATTGTAAACATACTTATCATTATGAGCAACGAGGAAGTGTTTTGCCAATTTTAGCAGCCATAGTCCAAGACCACCAGCACCCACGATTAAAATGTTGCAAAATCCTTTCGACTGCGCGAACGCATCGACAATTGGTCGAGCCTTGAAAAGAAAATAGAACTTTATTAAAAATCCTTCGAGTATGCGGAAATAGAGGACAAGCCCACAAGTACTGAACCCTTTCGAGTAACTATACCTGCAGCACTGCACTCAACGCCCAAGTAGCCCCAGCGGGAAGAATCGAAGCAACGTGCATTGACAGTGAATCAGGTATCTTGACAAGGAAATGGAGCGTAGGAACAGCAACATAGTCGGCATATCCGTGGCTACACATCTCATCAGTTGGCCATACAATGACCTGAACAAAATGAACTAGTCAGAGACGACCAACTCTAGGAGATCCTCATTCGAAGCAAACGAATGAAAGATCAGTTGTCTTCAAAGCGCACCCAGATCAATTTGACCACGCTAATTACAACTGCCCGAAAATTA